TACCACTGAGCCATACCCCAGTCCCTCTCTGGGGGATTCTAGGCAGGGGCTCTACCACTGAGCTACACCCCAGCCCCTCACTGGGGGATTCTAGGCAGGGGCTCTACCGCTGAGCCACAGCCTGGCCCCTCACTGGGGGATTCTAGGCAGGGGCTCTACCGCTGAGCCACAGCCTGGCCCCTCACTGGGGGATTCTAGGCCGTATTGCTGAGCTCCTTAATATGAATTAGCTGCAGGGTATCCCATCTGTATGCAAGAAGCCTGGATCAGTAATGCCTGAGCCACTGTCCCCTTTGGCCTGCAGGTGCTGAGCCATCCCCAGCACTCCTAGTGCCCAGTGCAAAACGCCGTAGCAGGAAGACCAGCAAAGACACTGGGGAAGGCAAAGAAGGGGCTGCCACGGGGCCTCAGGAGGCTACAGGGGCCAAGGCTCGAGGGCGGGGACGGAAACCCAGTGCCAAAACTAAGGGTGGTAAGTTTCCCCGGGCTTGGGAGGGGCTGCGACCACTGTGGGAATCGGGTGCTGGGGTGTGGAGCGTCCTATGATGGCCTGTCTCCACCTTAGGAGAATTCCGAGCGGCACTCTTACCAACTAAAGGAGTTGGAAAGCATTGGAAGGGCCTCCCGAGGGGCTTGCATAGGCAGGGACCTTGCCCCAGCTCCCTCCCAAGGAGCCCATGGGGGCTTTCTGAGTGGGATCCCAACTCATCCAGCAGAGAGTCATCCTACCTTTCTCCCAGCATTCTCCACCCTTGACCTCTAGTTGTGATCTTCCTATCAGACAGAGCCGCCGTCCTGGAGGAAGGGGCTGCCACAGACGAGGCCCCCAGTGCTCCCTCGGCCCTGGAGCCCATCAACACTCCAAGTTCCAAGAAGAGCACCCCAGAGCCAGTGGAGAAGCGGCCCAGGGCCCCCAAGGCTCGCTCAGTGTCTGCACAGCCCAGCCCCATACCGCCGACCTTCTCCAGCTGCCCAGCTCCTGAGCCCTTTGGGGAGCTTCCGGCCCCCAGCGCAGCCCCGCTTATCAACATGCCTGTCACCATGCCTGCCACTCGCCCCAAACCCAAGAAGACCCGGGCCTCCGAGGGCTCAGGTGCCAAAGGTCCCCGGAGGCCAGGGGAAGATGACGAACTACTTGTCAAACTGGACCATGAGGGGGTCATGTCTCCCAAAAGCAAGAAGGCCAAAGAGGCCCTGCTCCTGAGGGAAGATCCGGGGCCCGGGGCTTGGCCGGAGTCCACGGGGCTGCTCAGCCTGGGCAGCTACCCACCAGCTGTTGGCAACAGTGAGCCCAAGACCACCTGGCCCAAGGCTCTGGAGGGAGACCTCACTCAGGAGCCCGGGCCGGGGCTTCCTGTAGAGGATGCTGGCATCTCCGAGAGCCCGGACAAGGCCCAGGCGGAACAAGACGGGGCAGAGGAGTCTGAGTCCACCAGCAGCAGCAGCAGCAGCAGCAGCAGCAGCAGCAGCAGCAGCAGCAGCAGTAGCAGCAGCAGCAGCAGTAGCAGCAGCAGCAGCGGTTCTGAGACAGAAGGAGAGGAGGACGCTGAGAAGAACAGGGAGGACGGCCGGGGTGCAGGGGGCCGGACCTGCAGTGCTGCCAGCTCCAGAGCCTCGTCTCCCGCTTCCTCCTCTTCCTCCTCTTCCTCCTCGTCTTCCTCCTCCTCTTCCTCCTCTTCTTCCTCCTCTTCCTCTTCCTCTTCCTCCTCTTCTTCCTCTTCCTCCTCTTCTTCCTCTTCCTCTTCCTCCTCTTCCACCACAGACGAGGATTCCTCCTGCAGCTCAGACGACGAAGCAGCCCCTGCCCCCTCCACGCAGCCAGCACTCCCCGCCAAGGTGCCCAAGCCACCGAGCAAGACACGGCCCTCAGCTCACTCCCCAGGCAAGAAGGCGCCCCCCGCCACCCAGCCGCCGCCCCAGCCTCCGCCCCAGCCCCAGCAGACTCTGCAGCCCAAGGCCCAGACTGGGGCTGGAGCCAAGAGCCGACCCAAGAAGAGAGAAGGCGTGCACCTGCCCACCACCAAGGAACTGGCCAAGCGGCAGCGGCTGCCCTCAGTGGAGAACCGGCCCAAGATTGCCGCCTTCCTCCCCGCCCGGCAGCTTTGGAAGTGGTTTGGCAAGCCCACCCAGGTAGAGTTCCTGGAAGGGGGGTCATGGGTGAGGGGCCCCTGAGTTCCAGGAAAGCACCCTGGTTGCCAAATTCCTTTTAGTCCAGAGGCCATGTCTGGTGTAGAAGGGCCCTGCCTCATGTACACAGACTTCCTTTTGGAAGTCTAGACAGAGCAGGGACCCACATGGGCCCTCCTGTGGTGCCAAGGCCAGAAGGAGAGGGTCCTCCAGGCCTGCTTGTCAATGCACCTGCCTCAGCATCAGTTGCTTCTTGACCTCCAGTTGAGCACGAGTGACCAGTCCACACCTTTTGCCTGGCTTAGACTCTGGGTACCCCTGAGCACCCGTGTGAGGTGGGCCAGGGGTCATGGGTCCCACCTCTACCTGACAGAGGTGGCTGGCCTTCCGGAAGCAGGCTCTGAGCACCCCGGCCCCCTGTCTATCATGTGCCCACCTACGTGTGTAAAAAGCACACGGACACGTGTGTGCACGTGCCCTCGCATCCTGGCACCAAGCACAAGTGTGCGCTCAGGCGCATGCGTGCGCGCACGGGTGCTGTTACGAGTTAAGAGAGTGCCACCCCCGACCCCGCCCCACCCCCAGCCACACACTGCCGCGTTCTGAATGAGACACTGTAGTGGTGCCGGGCTGGGTTTGTAGACACTTTGGGAAGTAAGTCCCCGAGGCGAGTGTCCTGAGTGGGCCATTGCTGGCCATTTCCTGTGAACAGCTGCACATTCCCTCATTGCCGGGCGTCTTGCCCAAGCGCAGAGGGTCAAATGGCCGTGGACTCCTGAAACCATGGGCTGAAGCGAATCTCCGTCCTTTTTTAATCTGTCAGGTGTTTGGTCATCCGTGAGAAAAGTAGCCATCATAAATAGACCACAAACACGTGAGCACAGGGGTAAAGCATCCGTGTCCACACACACACACGCAGCATGTCTGAGACAAGCTACATGAGTATAGCACTTCTCAGTGGAGGATGTGGCCAGAGGCTATTCTGGAAGCTTCCATGTGGTGTGCGATGCAGCCGTCCTGGTCCACGGTCCGCCCCATACCTGTGGGTAGAAAGGTCCCGAGCGCCAGCGTGTCAGTGCTACTGTGTCCCCTCACAGTAAGCAAACTCCCTCTGAATGACCGAGGGTGAACTTGACTTGCCATCCTACTGCTGGGACCACAGGCCCGTACTAGCGTGCCCGGTTTATGGCGTCCTGAGGATGGGACCCAGGGCTTCATCCCTGCACCAGTCCTCGACACCATGGCTTTATTCTCTGGTGAGGTGCTGGGTGTCAGAGCGGAGAGGCGTAGCAGGGAATGGACTGCTTATGTCATGTCCAGGAAGGGAAGAAAAAGAGGGAGAGTCCAGGCCTTGAATTCCCCCGAGGGCATACCTTGATGGCCTAGTGACCTCGCCAGCCCCATCCTGCTGCTTCCTTACCACTTCCTAGACCAGAGCCTCTGGGGACAGTAACTGGCCGGCAGTAGCCAGGCTCATGGATGGGGTTCCCCTACCCACAGGCCTGCCCTGGCTCCGTGGCTTGGGCACATGTGGAGAGCCGGAGGCCTGATAGTTCCTTTAAGGCTGCACCCGTTCCAGCCCAGCAGCTGGTCACAGCCCTCGCTGTGTGCGCTCAGGGCTGGCTGGGAGTGCTGCCAAACTCGGCGCTTCCATGCAGACCGCCAGGATTGCTGGCGGTGACTTAGGCCCAGGGGTGGGGGATTCAGAACTGCCCAGACGAGGCCTGGCTGGTGGGGTGCCCCGCCTTCGGCTCCGTGGGTCTGGGCTCTGGTCCCTGATGAATGCATCCCACAGCGGCGAGGCATGAAGGGCAAGGCTCGCAAGCTCTTCTACAAGGCCATCGTCCGGGGCAAGGAGATGATCCGCATTGGGGACTGCGCCGTCTTCCTGTCGGCCGGCCGCCCCAACCTGCCCTACATCGGCCGGATCCAGAGCATGTGGGAGTCGTGGGGCAACAACATGGTGGTTCGGGTCAAGTGGTTCTACCACCCGGAGGAGACCAGCCCCGGCAAGCAGTTCCACGAGGGCCAGGTGAGCCTCCCCGCTGGGCACCGAGAGCGACGCCGTGTGCTGAGGTGTCTCACTTCCGTTGGTGTGACCTGTGCCCTGGCGGAGAGCAGCTTGCAGGAGTAAGGGTTTTCATTTAGCTGACAGCTCGCCTGGCCTCCCACAATCCTCCTCTGGGCAGTCACAGTGGCAGGAGGTGGGACAGCTGGTCACACAGCATCCACAGTCAGGAGCAGAGAACCAAGGCTTTCATGCCTAGCTCGGAGTCTGCTTCCTCTACTCATGGAGTCCAGGGTTCCCTGTGCAGGGAATAGCGCCGCCTACAGTGGGCCGGGTCTCCCCTCGGTTAACAAAACCAGGCTAGTCCCCAGCAGATGTACCCACAGCTCAGCCTAACCTGGATAGTGCCATACTAAGACTGTCTTCCCAGATAGTTCGAGATCCTGACAGTTCAAAACCATCAATTCAGCCAGACGTGGCTGGGCATCTGGGTGCTGGGAACAGCGGCTCTTTAAGTGGGAAGGTGGAGTCCGGGGAGTCTGGTTGGCCTGGGATCTCAGGTGGGAGTAAAATAAGGCTCAGACTTGGCCTCCTCTCCCCCCACCCCCAGCACTGGGACCAGAAATCGGGGCGTAGCCTCCCTGCAGCCCTGCGGGTCTCCAGCCAGAGGAAGGACTTTATGGAGGTGAGGAGGCAGCGGTGGACCGATGGGCTGGGGGCAGGTTCTTCCGCCTCTCGCTGTGTCTGTGGTTCTGAGCTACTGGGGTCCCTTTCTCTGCCCCACCCCGGGCCTCCCAGCATCCCTCCCTTTCTGAGTCCTGCTCTGGCCTGTATCGGCACGTCTGTCCACCTTCCTTCTCGTTTCTCTCATTTTTATTTCTTCTCTGTGTGTCTGCGCGCACACATGTTCATAGCCCTGGTGGAGAGAGTGCACGTGGGTGTGGGGAGGCGCCGACACCGCTGTCTTCTCTGATTCCAAACCCAGAGCTCACGAGTACGGCTGCTCTGACTAGCTGCCTTGCCCCAGAGGCCCCTGTCTCTGCCGCTTTCGGGGGTTCTCAGGGTCTGAGCGTGGTAGGGATGGCCGTCACGGCCATTCTTACTTCGGGTGCCCCCTTGCCACCTGTTCCCCTCTGTCTCTTCGTCTCTGTGTCCTTGTCCCTATCGCTCTGCCTCCAGGCCTAAGGCACCCTGGGGCCTCCCTGGTCCAGGGAGGGTTCGCTCCAGTCCCTGACCCCCACACTTTGCCCACACAGCGCGCCCTGTACCAGTCCTCACACGTGGACGAGAATGACGTCCAGACAGTGTCCCACAAGTGCCTGGTGGTGGGCCTGGAGCAGTACGAGCAGATGCTGAAAACCAAGAAATACCAGGACAGCGAGGGCCTGTACTACCTCGCGGGCACCTACGAGCCCACCACAGGCATGATCTTCTCCACGGATGGCGTGCCTGTGCTCTGCTGAGCGCCGCCTCCCGGCGGGCCCGCAGGGACCCCTCCCCACCACTGCCACGGCGCGGGACCCGTGTGTTGTGTGCATGCCAGTGTGTGCTCGTGGGTGTGTGCATGTAGCCAGGTGGACGCCCCGGGCAAGTGCGAGTGTGGACGTGTGTGCCCGTATGCATGCACGTGCACGCGTTCCCAGACCCTCTCCTCTCATCCCCTGGGGCCCTCCCCTCCCCCTCAGATAGCAGGGTCCCGCCCAGTGGGGACTTCCTCCAGCACTTTGTATTCGCTTTGTGAGGCCCGTGGAGGCTCTGGCTCTGTGGACGGGGTGCGGGAGAGCTCCCGGACCCACCCCGACGCTCAGTGTTGACTTCAGCCACACCCAGCACGGAGCCCACCCGAGGCCCCCCGCCACGGGCCCGGGGGCCCCTCAACGCCAGCCAGCTTCACCAATCACGCCGGGCATCTGGGCGCCTGCGTGCCCGGCCTCCACCCTCTCAGGACAGCCTGGACTTGGGGAACAAGGCAGGGGAGGGCAGCCCAGGAGCGTCACCATTCCCGGTGGGCCCCCCAGCCCAGACCCTTACACTACAGAAAACCCCAATGGTGCTGAACCCCGCGTCCACGCTCGGCACGGCCCGCCCGGCCCCTCCGCAGGGAGGGCCCGAAAGGGCTACCTGTACGGTTGATCGCAGCCTGCCCCTGTACCATACACCTTTAAATGGAGTCAGCTTTTTAATTATATATATAAAGATAAATATATATAAATATATATATAAACTTTTTAAAACTGTGAAAAATAGCTATGAAATTATAAAAAAACAACCACATTCTGACGTGCAGAATATTATTTTTTATTTACTGTTAGATTGTGAGTGTCTAGCGCCGCCGGCTTCATGCCTCCCCCCCGCCCCCAACGCCCCCTCACCCCGACCCATGTGTACTGTGTGTGCCCCCAAATGGACAAGAGATGGAGACAGATGGAGGGGACCCGAGCCCAGCCCTCGGCTCAGCCCCAAGCACTTAATGGCCCCCCTGTGCCTGCCAGGCCCCAGTGGGGTCTCCGGAGGCTTTGAGCAGACAATCTTGAAGGAAGGAAAAGCCAGATTTCGGTTTTGTTTTGTTTTCTTTTGGGGTGGGGGGTAATTACTGTTTCCTAATTTTTTTTTTAAAGTTTCTTTTGGAATTTTGTTGGCAAATTCTGTGTGATCTTTTTTCATAAAAAAAAGAAAAGAAAAGAAAAAAGAAAAAGAAAAAGAAAAATTTAATTGGAAAAATACTATGTGTTGGAGTGGCTTATTGTCGGGGCTTGGGATGGGAGACTTGGTGTTGGGGGTCCAGGTCCTTGTTCTAGAGCACCCAGAGATGGAGAGATGGGAGCCACGCAAGGCTGTTTTTCAGTGACAGGAGCCCCACATGCCCCGGGGAAAAACTTAGGGTGCAACCTGGAGCTGCTGTATCAGGCACAGAGAGGAGTTTGGTCCCAGTGTTTCAGAAAGGTCTCGAAGCCAGAGTGGTCTGTCTGGTTTAAAATTCAAGAGCTAGGATCTGGAGAGAAGGCGCAGCGGGCCCCAGTGCTTGCTGTCTGGTTCAGTACCCAGCATCCACCCGGCAGCTCTCAACCGCAAGTAACTCCAGTTCCAAGGAATCACGTGGTGCAGACATACATGCCGGCGAGACACACATAAATCTAAAAACTCTTAGGAGGGGTTGTCAGTGAAATACCTGCGGGAGCCCGTCCCCAGAAAAGACATGAAGCAGGCATGACTGTGCCCCACAGTCCCAGTGCACAAAGCCACTGTGGCCAAAATGCAAGTCCCAGGTCAAGGAAAACCCGTGACGAGGAGCTGGATGGTGCCTGAGCGTGGACACCTCCGGCCGGCCTCTGAGTCCAGGCACGCTCAAGCCCACATCTGGAAGGGCCTGTGTCACATGCCTGTCTGGGTGGGGGAACAGTTCTGGGGCCTGGGCAGGGGTCAACCACACGTGATCCTGGACAGCTGCAGCCCTCCTAGGCTTTTCCGCGTCACAGCTGGGGAAGAGGACGGTGTGCAGTGACATGAGAAGTCAGACCTAGGGGGTGCAGGAAACGGGTAACGTGGGGGAGTCCCTTACTGTTGCCACCTGGCAGCCACCTGTGGTATCACCGCTGCTGCCCAGCCGGGACCCACAGGGTTGCAGGCGCCCGAGGCTTCGGGGACTCCTCCTCCTGGGTCCCCGCTTTCAGATTCCTTCCCTGGGGACGCAGAGCAGTGGGTGGATTCCGGGGGCTCGCTGGCCAGCCGGTCTAGCCTTAAACATCGGGGAGCAGGCTTGGTGAGAGACTAGATAAATAAGGTCATGCAGCAGTGGACACTGATGTCTTCCTCTGGCCTCTGTGCACACACGGACACCCACTCAGAGTCTCCAAATTGCCACCAGAACTGTGCACTACAAGCGGAGGACTGTGTTCCCGGCTTAGAGCAGCCCACCTCCCTGCCCCAGAGAGGCAGGACCACACCCCTCCCTCTGAGCCCTTTTCCCTAGGCACCCCGTCCTCACGGGGCCAGTGGTCTGTCGTGCAAGCCCCAGAGGCTCACCGCTAGGCACGGGAGCAGGCCCCTGTCCAACCAGCACTTCTGAAAACCCCTAGCGCAGGGCAGGCGGGCTGCTTCATAGGCGGGGCGGCAGAAGTCTCAGCACGGTGGGGAAGGCCTCAGAACGCCGGTTTAATCTCCCTACCCTCCGCCCCCCCCCCCCCCCCCCCGCAAACACCTGCCGGACAGCGGTGGGCAGTCTCTGCCATCTTTAATGGCCAGTGCGGTATTCAGAGGGTACACAGGTAGATGGGACACGGTGGGGGTTGGTGAGGGTGGTCGCAGCTGGGGCCACAGTGTGTGGGGAGGCACGATTCCTGCCTCAGTAGAAGCTGTCTTCCGGAAGGAGGCCCACGGCCAAGCCTGCCACCCAGGGACCCCACAGCTCAGCCTGCTGCTGCCTGCCGGGGTTTCAGGTGGCTCGTGTCGTTACTTCGTTCTCAGTGGACAAGGGTGGGGTAGCCTGGGCCACCAGTGGGGCCCAGCTGTCCCCACATTATAGCCAGGCTGAGGAAGCTGGGGGAGGAACAGGACAATGTCCTCAGCCCGCACTCCAGCGGGTGCCTGGGGGACGTCCTCCACCTCAGGTGGGCTCACCCAGGTCAGCGCTGTTGCTATGACTACAGGAGGCCTGTGGAGACCTGTAGAGTCTCCCAGACTTAATGCTTGCTGTGGGGGAGAAGGGTTTGTGAAGCAGTGTCTGAGAACAAGAAGGGGACAGAACGGGCTTGGGGACCATCGCTTTCCTCGAGGATTTCTAATAGTCCTGGGGAGGTGGCCTCTGCCCAGTAAATGAAAGCCACACTGAAGACGGGGGACCTTTGTGTCAGACTCCCCCACAGTGGGGTCACAGGGGAGAGCCGGCCCAGACTTGGGGTCAGCCGTTCTGGCTTGCTCTGAGGCTGAATGATGCCAACATAGGGGGTGAAGGGCAGGTATCTGACCAAACAGGACTTGGGGATAGGCGGTGCCCTGGTGTCGGAGACGTGTTCCGGCTGCAGTGGGCGACTGGAGCCAAGTGGCGGGGTGGCATTAGTGGCTTAGGAGGCGCCAGGACCCCACAGGCACTGAGGCGGGGGTGGGAAGGGTCCTCAGGCCCGGGGTGGCTGGCCCGAGAGGCCCTCCCTGGGCACTGGGCAGGGTCAGGCGGGCCTGGCTCAGGGGCCGACAGGGACGGAGTCGTTGGCGGTGGCCGTTTGAAAGCAGCTGCTGTGGGCATCACGGGTGAGGCTGTAGGTGCAGTAGGCCACAGCGGAGCCCAGGGTCAGCCCCGACATATAGGACACGGTCATGGTGTTTCCTGCAGGCAAGCATGGTGAGGTGAGTAGGGGGCGGCGAGCAGCCATGGGCGCTGAGCCGCGCGGTGCTGCACTCTCTGTGGCCGTGGCCTCTCAGGTGTGCAGTGTGGCGACAGCTGCTGGCGCTCTCCGGCCTGCGACGCCCTGTGTGAACATTTCTCCCCCGGAAACTCACTGTCCCACCTTAGGGTCTTCTAGGAGTGATGTCACCCGAGCCTCCCAGGCTTCGCCTACTTCTTGGTCCCTCTTTTTCCTTCCTTATCTCCTTCCTTTCTCCTTCTTTTCCTCCCTTCTCTCCCTCTCCCCTTTCTTTCCAGTCTTAGGGATACAACGCAATCTTTCACAAGCTAAGCCAGTTATCTACCACTGAGCCGCACCTCCAGACCCTCCCGGGGGGTAGGGAAACTTTAGACAGGGGCTCTACCACTGAGCCACACCCCAGCCCCTCACTGGGGGATTCTAGGCAGGGGCTCTACCACTGAGCCACACCCCAGCCCCTCACTGGGGGATTCTAGGCAGGAGCTCCACCACTGAGCTACACCCCAGCTCCTCACTGATACTTTTGCACATGGCTCCCTCTGCTTGGATACCATTTCTTGCAGGGTCCTGTGCCTGTCCCCCTCATTTCTTCCTCCAGGGTTTTGCTCATCTTCTCCGTAAAGTCTTGCAAGATCATTCTCTTTACACCATAGCCCCACAGTCCCTGTGTCTGCCCTAACTTCTCAGACTAACAACCCCTAGGACTCAAACCAGGAAACACGTCACATCTGTCTGCTATCTCTCTGTTTGCTGGCTGTCTCCATCTCAGGACTGTAACCCTGCAAATGTGGGCAGCTCATGCCCCACTGCCTGCGAGAGTGTCAGACATACAGGCCCCCCAGCTAGCGGGAGAGAAAGTGAACAAGTGAATGACTGAAATAAAGAAATTACCTACAGGTGTCCTATACCTACAACTCCTTTGTCACTTAACTTTATATATTTTCTGCTGGCTGCCCTTGGCTGGCTCCTCCTTGCTCAGTTTCTGAGGCCTTAGTTTCCTTGCTAGAGTCGCATTAGGCTGTCAAGAGGAAGCCCTGGTGTCCTTCAAGCTGGTGGGTCTTACCTGCCAGCTCCCGCTGCTTGGGGCTCACTTTACCGGCTGCCAAGATCATGGGCACACTGCCAAAGTAGCCGTTGCTGATGCCCATTAGCAGTGAGAAGACGCAGGGCCAGGCAGGGTGGCGGAGGGCAGGCATGCCACTGGGGTAGACACACAGGATGAAGAGGGGGATGAAGACCACACGCAGGCAAGAGCAGGCAAGCAGGTGAGTGCCCCGCCAGTCCACGGGTAGGGCTGCCAGGATCTGCAGAGAGCAGGGAGTGGGGGGGGGGGTCACCCACACAGCCAGGAGCCTGCCTCTTCACCAGGCCCTCCATCTGCGTACCCTGTGCCCAGATAACCTTGGCTCCATTCAGCTTACATTGCAAGGCCCACCAAATCTCCTGTACTTCCCCACCCACTTTTCAGTACTGGTGATGGAAGGTAAGACCTGGAATATGCTACAGAAGCACTCCACTGATGATCGACACCCCAGGCCCTCACTGGGGATTCCAGGCAGGGGCTCTACCACTGAGCCCACACCCCAGCCCCTCACTGGGGGATTCTAGGCAGGGGCTCTACCACTGAGCCCACACTGCAGCTCCTCACTGGAGGACTCCAGGTAAAGGGCTCTTGGTGTGGCTCAGTGGTAGAATGCTTGCCTGACAAGGGCAAGGCCCTGGGTTCCATACTCCACAAAGCACAGTAACAACAAAACTGACCACAAAGAGACGTAGAGAGAGACCTCATCTGAGCTGCAGGGTGGCTGGGGTCCCGCTCCAGCCCCAAACCCCAACTATAGGCGTGACAGATATGTTGCCCCGCTGGCTGTGCCTGTGTCCTCCTCAGAGGGACTTGCTAGTGACCACAAGGCAGGAGAACTGGGGCTGATTGTAGCCTGAGATGCAGTTGACGCCACAGGACAGTGTTAGAGAGGGTGACACTTCCGGCTACCATTCTCCCCGCCGGGAAACTCACACGTACCCTCAGCCTGGGGTTGCTCCAGAAAGCCCAGAGGCTTCCTGGGGCTCCCCAAAGCCGCCCCGAGGCTGACCTTGCCCACAAAGTCTGACAGGTTGAACACGGCCATGACCAGGATGGGCAGCCACTCGCCCAGCACGCAGTGGCGGATCTCCGACTCCAGGCCAGGAAACAGGCACAGCGTAATGAAGTAGGTCACGGCGATGGACAGCATGTCGGCCCAGATGACCCGTGCCACAACATAGCGGTGCAGCAGCAGGGCTAGGGGGAGGGAGGGCTGTCAGAGCATGGCGCCCAGCGAGCCCTGCTGCCTCCAGCCTGGGCGACAGCCACACGCGCCATCGGGCCCCAAGGTGCCTCGCGCTCACCTCTGAAGGTGGGCCAGCTCCGTTTGACTCGTGGACGAGGCACGTCAAAACGCATGTAGGCCCCACTGTTGCTGTGGGTCACCTCGTGGGCTGGGCTGTCCTTTGGGGACCTACTGCTGGACAGGGCTGGGGTTTGGTGCTCCTGGGTGGAAAGCGACGATGGGAGTCAGGGGCCAGGTACCCAGGGCGAATGGTGAAGCCACTGGCCGCCAGACATTCAGTTAGCACCTGCTGTGTGCCCTGCTTCTCTCCACCCAGCCTGAAGTCGCCTGCCACAGCCCCCCCTGAGCCCTGGGGATGAGGGTGAGGGTGAGGTGTGCCACATCATGCGACCACCAGAGGGCACTCTAGCTTCCCAGAACTGCGAATTGCCTTCCCCAGGCTGTAGCTACTCAAGGAGCTGACATTAAGAGGCCACCCCTGAAGCATCGGCCTGTGCTGGGGTCCTCGCAGACAGGCACAGGAATGTGACGGATGGGGGCCTATCACAGGCTTCCCCTGCCTTCCATCCACCTGACTTCCTCGAACCCCACTTTTGAGGCTCTGGGGTTCTCCCCCACCGGGCTCTGGGGCTCTTCTCCCTGGCCGTATCTGGAAAGCCCTAATCTCCTACTGTCCCAACGGGGTGTCCCAGAACACGGGCCACAGACGCTGAAGCCTCAGGCCCCAGCTGAGGGATGCCAGAGCTGGTAGAGGGTCACAGACCACCCGTGCAGGCCTCAGGGTACAGAAGCAAGGCGGCAGCCCGAAATCCCGGGGTAGTGAGGAAGCCCTCAGGCACCCTCGTGGGAGAGGGAGGCAGGCCGCCGCGCTTACGAAGTGGACGTCTCCGGACGCGACGTCGTGGTGCACGCGGTAGCCTGCGCGGACGGGGCGGCTGTCTCGAGGCCGCGTGGTGTAGAACAGCACGAACCGGCTGCGCCGCACCAGGAGGTGCAGCAGGAAGCACAGCAGCTCCAGGCCGGCGGACACCAGGAAGAAGATGATGGTGCTGGCCCGCTCATCCGGGAGCAGCAGCTTCGTGAGGATGCGGCTCAGAGAGATCATCACCCCCGCCGTGCCTGCGGGGGGCGTGGCACCTGAGCGCTCCGCCCCTCCCAGGCCGCCCTCACCCTGGCTGCACCCCCAGCTGCGTCCCCACAAACCACCAGCTTCCTCCCTGGGTCCTCCCCACCCACTGCTCCAGCCGCAGTCCCCAGCACCCGGCCCACCACCCTACGCGGCCCCACCCCCTCCGCCCCGTCCCAGGTCCCAGTCCTCTCTAAGGCTTCCCCCAGCCACCTGCAGCCCCTCTCCCCAGGGTTGCTGCTGCTCCCACACGCCCTCCTGACTGTCATCTGCCCACGACACACCACGGCCAGGTCTTGCTGGGTGACCCGCCCTGAGGTCCCCCACGAGGAGGACACAAGGCCCCGCCTTCCTGGGCTTGATGGAGCGAGGCCACAGACAAGCCACAGAGACTCACAAGTGGTACGGGTGAGCACCCACCGTGGCGGAGGGTGTGGCCACAGGGGAGAATCAGAGCGTCCTATCCAGGAGGGGGGTTGGGAGGCCAGGGGTGCGCAGTATGGGGAGCCAGGCACAGACCGAGAGTGAGCACCCCAAACAGGCCGGTGGAGGAGGGTGTCACGGCCAAGGCAGACAGGACTCCTGCAGACAGCATTTGGAGTCTTGCCTGAGTTCAACCCACAGCGCAGGGCAGTGTGAGGCAGGGCCACGAGCTGATGAAGATGGTGCTCTGAGGCAGTCTGTGTGGAGGGGCTCTTGGCTACTGCACTGCGGTTCCAGGTCAGTTCACCAACAGCACCCTGACGGGGCAGCCTCATGGCGTCCACCACCACCACATCGACCGCCGTGGGCTAGCAATATGGCTCAGTGGGTAGAGCATGCCCAGCACGGTGTAAAGAGAGTGCGGTGGCCTGTGCCTGGGATCCCAACACTCAGGAATTAGAAGCCGGAGGGTCAGAAGTTCAAGGCTATCCTCAGCTACATAGTTCGAAGCCAGCCTGGGCTACATGAGACCCTGTCTCAGAACGAATCTGCAGGCTTGCAAAGCCACCTATGTTCTGGCTGCCTTCCAGCAGTCAGCTCTGGTGCTGTCTGATGTTCGGGCACGACATGGCAGACGAAGCCTACAGAAGATGGCCAGAGAGGAGCCGAGAGCAGCCCCTGAGAGGACACTGGCTGGGCCCGGCTCCTTGTCCAACTGTGACTAGTTATGAGATGGAGGGCAGGACGGGGCAGGCTCAGAGTCTGCCTGGAGTGCGTGTCCAGGGGCCTTTTGAAGTCTGGGCACTGGGGAAGGTTTTCGGGTTTGGGCAAGAGTGCTGTGTTGCAAGGGACACCTGGGAGGTAGCTTGACAGACAAGCTTTTAGCAGAGCCCTAAGCAGGGATGGAGGGGGAACCAGAGGAAGGCTTTGGTTCTTAGTGGCGACGGCTGCTATCATGGGCTTGGGCAGGCCAACCCTCAGCACGAGCACGCACACACACACACACACACACACACACACGCGCGCGCGCGCACACACACACTGCAGCAAATTTCTAACTGAAACACTCCCTTCTAGAAGAGGGTGGTCACAAAATAAAGACTAAAAGCCCAGTGAAACCATAGAAGACTCTCAAGTCCCCCATTACCCTGAAGTCATTCAAGCAGTCACAGTTGCTGGGGACAGGAGATCCCTCCCACCAGGGCAGCGGCCCAGCTCACCTTCTCCGTCACCCATGCTCCTGTCAGTCGGCCTAATAAACTCACCAAAACTAGACCGGGTCGAACCGTTTTCTGGTGTGCCCATGGCGCCCTATCTGGAGTGTTCACGTCTCTCCCGGAAAAGTCGCAGGACAGACACGCAAACTACACTCCCCCCACCCCACCCCCGCGCCTGCTTGCTCACTGCCTGTGACTCCAACCGCACATGCCGCTCACACTCTGGAATCCTGGCGGGCACACCCCTCCCACCCGGGGGTCCGCCCTCACCATCCAGGGGCACCAGCCCCAGCCCAGCATGCGGAGGCCTTTCCAGGCCTCCTCGCCATCCAGGCCGTGCCCACCCGATGGGGCGCTGGACCAGAGTGGCCCGCTGGGGGAGGGGCTCGGTACTCACTCTCGCCTGTCATCACTCCCTGCGTGTACCTCTTGGGCAGTAATCCCGTGTAGCCGTAGAAGCTGGATTGCTGCACTTCAGAGAGAGAGGGAGGGAGTGGTCAGACACCTCTCGCCAGTGGGGGATTCAGGGGCAGCGTGGACCTTCCAGGGGTGCGCCCCGGAGGCGCTGGTGAGGTTTACCACAGCCGGACACAAGCCGGGAAGGAAACGGCGCTGCCCTCAACAGTGCATGGAGCTCACTCACTTCCCTACCCCTGGGCTTCAAGGTCACTGGCCTGTCCTGGCCGATGGGAGCAGAGATGACACCCGTTCCTTGCCGGGTGAGACAGGGCGGACTTACTCTCGGTGTTTCTGCCCACAGCAGTGACAGAGAGGCTAGGGGTTGGGATGGGGCTGTCAACACAAACCCCCAGGGGCTGCATGGAACACAGCCCTGCCCCCATTTCTGATGCAAAAGCAAGAGATCTGGGTGTGTGCCTGGATGACGTGGGAGGCAGCAGGACTTAGGGGTTCAAAGCCAGCCTGGACTGCGTGAGACCCTGCCTCAATAAAAAAGGGAGCGGGCTGAGGATGCAGTTCAGTGAGCAGAGAGTTTGCCTGTCGTCCACGAAGCTATGCTTGTGACCCTAGCACCGAAGAGGTGGAGGCAGGAGGATCAGGAGTTCAGGAGACCCAGGGGGCTGCCTTCCAAGCCTGGGCCCCGTGAGAGTGGCCTGGGTGCGGGTCCGGGTCCACGTGCGTGTGTGCAGTGCGCGAGCGCCTCGGTGTGTCCACAGACAGGCCCCAGGCCCGGCACTTGGGCCGACTCGCCTTGTGAGGTGTGTTCCCTGGACGGGGCCACACAGCACGAGGGCTCCGCCCTCCCGGCACATCCTGGCCCTGCTCCCTACCTGTGCATCCGAAGGCCACGGTGCCCACGGCGGCCAGGTTGATGGCGTAAGCCTGGTCGTGAGAGAAGAGCTGAAGCCACACGTCGCAAATGCTGATGAAGAGCAAGGGACCCAGGGCGAGCAGGTAGCCTGCAGGGGACGGAGAGCAGCCAGGTGGGGGCTCCTCCCCTCACCCCCATTTTCCAGAGAGCAAGGTCTCCGACACTGTGGGCTATCTGTCCCCTCGAATAGCGGGTAGGTGGAAGACTCCAGGAGAGGCTACAGGGAAATCCTGCGGCCTTCCTGGAGGAGGGCTCATGGGCGCTGAGCCTGGAGGCTGACCACCACTGTGCAGAGGGGAGGGAGGGCTTAGGTAGGGGCCTAGGGGTGTAACTTACGACCACTAAGCCCGCAGCGGTCCTGGGAAACGCACGTGTGTCACAGGCAAGGCTGGGAAGCTGGTGGGGAGGAGCTCGCGGTGGGCGAGCCTCGGGGAGGGGACAGCACGGGGTGGCCTTGAATACCTGTGGTGATCCTAGTGTGCAGGTTTAACCGCTCCACCACAACGTTGTTCAGGAGCACAGCCGCCAGCGCCACCAGGATGTAGGTGAGGCTCATGTCGAACACGATGGAGGTCCCTGCACGCAAGAGGGACGGTGGCTGGGGCGACCTCTGACCTCTGCATTCAGCCCTGCAAGGGTCACTCGGCAATTGCCGGTGGAGCTGAGAGCTGCCCCTCGGCCTGCCACGTCTAACTCAGCTTCCACGCGTGGTCTACCCCCTGCTGGGGTTTGAACGCGAACCGCGCCCCACGCGCTCACGGGGGGAGTCACGGGGGGCGGGCCTTGAGGGTTTATAGGGGGAGCCACTTCCTGTCTGCGCTCTGCTTCCGGAGTGTGACTGCAATGTGAGCGCCCGGAGCCCTGCGCCCTGCCTGCTCGCGGGCTTTCACGCACAGGGCGGACCGTGGCCGGCAAACTGAGTCAGAGGAAGCCCTGCCTCCCTCCAGTGGCTCTTGTCAGGCGTTTTACCGGAGCGACGAGAAAAGCAACTACTCCGCCCCCCGAAGAGAGTGGAGTTCCCACGCCACCGCCATTCAGCCGTTCAGCGCAGTACAGCTCCCGGCTGTACCTGAAGGCCCCAGCAGCCGTTTTCTCCGTGCACTCCCTCCAGCAGGGTCGTGGGACTCCCAGCAGGCCCTGTCCCAGGGAGAGGGTACGGCGCCGCCGGCGAGGACCCACCTGGGTACTTGTGGTGCAGGTAGTCCACGTCGGTGATGAAGCTGTTGTATGGCAGCAGAAAGCCCACGCCAGCCAGCAGCATGGCAAAGTAGATGGCATGGTAGCGGTCGTCTGGCACAGGCTCCTCTACCGCTAAGTGGGGAGACACCAGGAGAGGCTAGCGAACACGCTCAGGCCGTGTGGCCGCTGCCGTCCCCACAGCCGTCCACTGCCAGGGCGCCGGCCATCTGCATCACTGTCTATGCACGAGACCGCAAACGTTCCGGCCACAGGGATGTGGACCCTGTTAATTAATTCTTTCTTTCCTCCCTTCCTCTTCCCCCCCCCCCCTCACTGTTGGACTTGTTTTGTAGATCAGTCTGGCCTCGAACTTGCAGAAAAGACCCCGCTGTTGCCCCATGCTGGGATCAAAGGTGTTCACCACCATGCCTTATTTTTTTATTTTTCAAGTGTGTGTGTGTGTGTGTGTGCAAACACATGAGTGCAGGTGTCACATTTTCTGCAGTTGAAGTTACAAGCAGTTGTGAGGCACCTGATAGCTAGGTGCTAGGATCTGAATTTGGGTCCTCCGGAAGAGCAGAAAAACCTCTGAACCTCTGAGCCATCTCTCCAGCCCCCATTTTTTTTTTTTTAAATTTATATTTTAGCTGGGGTGGTGGCAGTGTCTTTAATCTCGGCACTCTGGAGGTAGAGGCGGTGGATTGTAGATGAGCACTGGGGTGCCAGGCTTTTAATATGGGTCCTAGGATTTGAACTCAGATCCTCACGCTTGCTTGGCAAGTGCTTTACCCATTAAACCAGTCCCCCAGCCTCAGTGATAGCCAATCTGAATTCTCAGCGAGATGGGGGAGGGGGAGTAGACTCACAATGGGGGGGAGGGGTCTGGCCGCGTCTGTGAGAGATTATGTAGACTGGGTTAAATAAGGTGGTGAGATGAATCCTGAATATGGGTAGCACCAATCCCACTGGCTGGGGCCTCCCTGGGCTGAATGGAAACAAGAAAGCTTGCTGAACAAATGCGCTCCTCTGTTTCCGATTCCTGACTACAGATGCAATGCGATCAACCAGCTCATGACTGACAGACAGCACCAGCGTCACGCCTTCTGTGCCGTGATGGACTGTATCTTCCAAACTGTGAGCCACAACGAACCCTTTTCCTCCCTTAAGTTGCCTTTGCCAGGTATTTTGCCACAGCAACGAGACGGGTAGCTAATTCAGCCACGATGGCCACCAAGAACACCGTCCGCCACTGGCCACTGTACTTGCTGTCCACCATTGCCACAGCTACTGCCCACCAACAGTCATCCCATCACCACCACCCTGGCCATGGCCCCAGGAACAGCAAGCCTGACCAGATGGTGGGCTGGGCTCCTGAAGACGCTGAAACAGGATAAGACAATGGCAGTGCTTTGTGGGGCTAGCAAGGTCTGATGTTCTAACAGCTGTCTCCCCAGGGGGATGCTGGGATCCAGGAAGGACGCGCTGGTAACACCTGTCACGCCTTCAGCAACCACTAACAAAGCTCATTTATGTCCCTGCTGAGCTAGTCTCTTCCTTTTCCTTTCTTCGCCCCTCAACCCACAGTGAGATCTCCTGTAGCCTAGGCTGGCTTCCAACTCACATGTAGCCAAGGATGATCTTGAACTTCTGATCTTCCTGTCTCTGCTTCCTGAGAGCCGGAATTACAGATATGCACCACTATACTTGGTTTATTTGATTCTGGAGATGGAACCCAGGGCCTCACACAGGCTAAGCAAACACCCTGCCAACTGGACTATGTCCCCGCTCCATGATCTCGGAAGTTTTAGCTTTGACCCCAAGACACCACGATTTTGTCATTTGGAGCATAAAGGGTTGCCACTCTGGTCCTGATTTGACAGCAGAGGAAGACCTTGGTGGATGGGGGGTTGACCCTGACCGCCGCTGCCGTCTACAGGAATGAGAAATGTGCTTGGTATATGAGAGGAGCTCTTGGCCTCTTACGGCATTTCCGTGCCACGTGTTACAGTCAGAAATAAAGGCTCAGACACCTGCTGGGACCAGAGCTGTGGCCAGGGAGGTGTCTGCAGGTAGCGAAGGGAAGCTGCATGGACCAATGAAGGAGCACACTGAATATAAGCTGTAAGCACCTGGCTGATATTACTGTGAGTTGGTGTGTTGGGGTCCACATGTGGGGTCCGGTGGGTGACATCGGCTGCTTTGCTCTATTGCTCTCCACCTTTTTTCTTTCTTTCCGAGGCAGGGTTTCTCTGTGTAGCCTTGGCTGTCCTGGACTTGCTGTGTGCACCAGGCTGGCCTCACAGAGATCCCTTGCCTCTGCCTCCCCCAGCGCTGGGATCACAGGCGTGCGCCACTGGGCCTGGCTCTCCACCTAATTTTTGAGGCAGTCATTCACTGAGCCTGGAGCTCACCGATCAGGCTAACCTGGCTGGCCAGAGAGCCCTGGGATCCTCACCAGCCTTGGCTGGGATGGGACGCGCTTACTGCTGCACCCGCCTTTTTTTTTATTATTTTTTGTTTTGTTTTGGAAATTTACTTACATTTTTACATGTTATTGTACAAGTGTTTTCATGAATTTATGTTTGCGCATCATAGGCATGCTGGTGCCTGCGGAGGGCAGGAGAAGGTGTCAGGAAGCAGAGTTTCAGATGGTTGGGAGCCACCATGTGGGTGCTGGGATCAGAACCCAGGTCCTCTGCAAGAGCAGCCAGTGCTGTTCGCTGCTGAGCTATCTCCCCAGCCCCCAGACCAACTTTCGTGTACATTTTGGGAATTGAATTTAGGACCTCAGGCTTGCACAGCATGCACTTTGCCATTCTTCCTGGTGGGTACATATGGACATCTATAATTTTATATATAAATAAATAGATCATATAAATATATGGCCACGTGTTTGTCCGTGGCACAGAGTGCATGGGGAGGGCAGACACAACCTTTGGAAACCAGTTTTCTCTGCCGTGTGGATTCTGGAGCCTCATTGGCGGCAGAGGCTCATTAGGCTTGGTGAAGGCCCCTTTTTACCCACAGCCATCTCGCCACCCTTGAATATTTTTTATTCACTCTTACACGCCCTTATCGGTAACATAAAATATGTTCATAAAGGGCTGGAGAGGTGGCTCAGTGGATAGGAGTGAGTATTACCAGCCCGATGACCTCAATTCAATCTTCAGAACCCACCAATCCCTGCAAGTTGTCCTCTGACCTCCATGACACCTGTGCCCTCCACCCCCCAAGACAAGACAAAATAAATGAACAATTGTTTTTCTTTTCTCCTTCCCCTTCCTCCTCCTCTTCCTCTTGTCTGTTTTTCAAGACAGGGTTTCTTTGTGTAGTCTTGCTGCCCTGGAACTATCTCTGTACGCCAGTCTGGCCTCAAACTTAGAAATCCACCTGCCTCTGCCTTCAGAGTGCTAACAGTAAGGCATGTGTCACCACCACCCAGCTTTGTTTTTAAGATCTGCTCTGGGGCTGGAGAGATGTCTCGGTGGTTAAGAGCACTGGCTCCTCTTCCAAAGGTCCTGAGTTCAATTCCCAGCAACCACATGGTGGCTCACAACCACCTACACTGGGATCTGGTGCCCTCTTCTGGCATGCAGGTGTACATGCTGATAGAGAGCTCATATACATAAAATAAATACATCTTGAAAAAAAAAAGAAAAAGGTCTGCTCTAAAGCCAGGCATGATGGCACATGCCTATAATCCCAGCTCTTGGGGAGGCAGAGTCAAGCAGATCTCTGTGAGTTCCAGGCCAGCCTGGTCTACGAAGCGAGTCCAGGACAGCCAGGGCTACATAGAGAAACCCTGTCTTGAAAAACAAAACAAGATGTGCTCTGAATTGCTAGCTGTTTGGAGGTCACTGGCCCTGGAAGAACTGCCAGCAATGGCCTCTGGGGAACGGGCTTACATGGTGTCAGGGGCCCCAAAATGAACTGTATCATGCTTATCACGTATCGTGATGGCATGGCCCTGATATGCTTTATCTGAGCAGTGAATATGCTTCCGGAGCTGTGCGTGGCTGCTGAGTTGACACACAGAACACTGTGAAGGGCCACTTCATAAGTCAGCTCAGCCGGCCAAGGCCTGGGCCTGGTCGTTCTGTGACTCACTGAGGTGTGGCTGGGGGTGGGAGTTCTGTAGAAGACGTGGTCTCTGAGTTTATTGAAGAGAATAATGACTGTGAGTGGGCCTGGCCCAGGCAGGGGAGGCTTTTGGTCCTTCGGGAGCTGACCTCAGCCTTGGGTGGGGATCCAGGCTGCTCCTCACCTGCCTGTTCTGTGGACTTTAGACTGTCTTCTGTGACAAGCTGAAATGTGTCCCCACCATCACATCTGTGATGGGATAGAGGTCAGGCCCAATGACAGGGGTTAGATCTGTAGATGGGTTGATGAATTGATGTTTCTCTGCCAGGTGTGTGCCCTCATTCTTGGGAGTCTGAGCAAGTGGGAAGCCAATGAGCCTGCCTGGCATTTCCTGTGACTTGCTCCCATTTCCTGTCTCCCCAGGTTCCCATCACTGTGATGCCGTTCTCTGTGAGAGCCAAACAGAAATGGGTGACAAGTTCTTGACTGTCCAGCATGAAGGCTTGAAAAGCCTCTGTCCTTTATAAAGTACCTGGCCTAAGGTAGCGTGTTACGGCAACAGAGTGTCCTCTAAGATACTGGCTTCACCAGCCCCACTTTAGTAAACCAGTTTTTGATAATGAATGTCTATAACCTATACACGCGCACAGTTCATGTGTCTATGACTGCGTTTCCTCCTATCCGTTGTCCATCTATCCCTACATTCTCCATCCATGCGTCCCTCCACCCGCTATTTAGCCAGCTGTCTATCTATCCACCATCTAACTGCCCACTCCCACCCATTCCTCAGTCACCCTTCTATCAATTCATGTATCCATTATCTATCCACCCATCCAGCCTCTATCCATCCATCTCTCCATCCATGCATCCATCCATCCTTCATCTATGTATCCATCATCCCCCACCCATCCTTCTATCCATCCATCTATCCATTATCTATCCACCCATCCAGCTTCTAACCATCCATCCATCCATCCATCCATGTATCCATCCATTCATGCATTCATCTGTCCTCCATTTTTTACCTGATACTCCAACTGTCCATCATTCATCAATCTACATCATAATCCATATCCTCCATTCATCCCTCACCTATACATCCCTCTATCCATCTGCCTATTCATCCATGTACTCAAGCTATGATCATATTTTTTTTAAGATGTATTTATTTATTACGTATACAATGTTGTGCTTACATGTACACCTCTAGGCCAGAAGAGGGCAGCAGATCTCATTATAGATGGTTGTGAGCCACCATGTGGTTGCTGGCAGTTGAATTCCTGACCTCTGGAAGAGCAGCCAGTGCTCTTAACCTCTGAGCCATCTCTCCAGCTCCTCCCCTTTTTAGAGATTTCATGATCTTTTTAATCTACCTATCTGTCTCTCCACCAGTTCACCTATTATTTAGCTATCTGTCCATTTATATACTCCCATTCATCCATCTATCATCTATCTGTCTTTTCAGATGTCTATTATTTGGTTTTATTAAGACAAAGTCTAGTTATGCAGCCCAGGCTGGTCTAGGATTGTGGTAATCCCGCCTCAGCTTCCCAAGAGCTACCATACCTGCCATTCTATCATCTGTCTGTCTATCTATCTATCTATCTATCTATCTATCTATCTATCTATCTATCATGTATTCTATCATCTGTCTGTTATCTATCATCTATCAATAATCTATCTGTCTATTATCTATCTATCAATCATCTATCTGTCTATCTTCCGTTCATCTATCCATTTTCCTTCCTTCCTTCCTTCCTTCCTTCCTTCCTTCCTTCCTTCCTTCCTTTCTTTCAGCATCTCCTGATTCTCTTTCTCTGACAGAACCCTGGTTGCTGTAGCCTCCAACACTAAATGTACCATACTCGAAGCCTTTACAGTTCAAGTCAGCCCTGACACCTGTGTTCCGCCCACTCCAGAGCCCTGTCTGCCAGGGCCCTTCTCCCACCATGGCTGTTGTCATCCTTAGGGCCTGGTACTGAAGTGCCATCCCTCTGCAGGGAGCAGGTGTTCTTCTCAACCCAACTTCACTGCACAGAGTTGTAAAGGAGCCAGGTCTGAGGCAGAAGCAGTTCAACTTCAAACAACCATCTGCACAAGATGGTACCTCACAGGTGGCTTACAGGTGCCACTCATAGGTGGCTCACAGGCACTACCTCAAAGGTGGCTTACAGGTGCTACCTCACAGGTGGCTCACAGGTGCTACCTCACAGGTGCTACTCACAGGTGGTTCACAGGTGCTACCTCACAGGTGCTACTTACAGGTGGCTCACAGGTGCTACCTCATAGGTGCCCCTCACAGGCACTACTCACAGGTGCTACCTCACAGGTTCCCCTCACAGGTGCTACTCACAGGTGCTACCTCACAGGTTCCCCTCACAGGTGCTACTCACAGGTGGCTCACAGGTGCTTCTCACAGGTGGCTCACAGGTGCTACCTCACAGGTGCCCCTCACAGGTGCTACCTCACAGGTACTACTCACAGGTGGCTACAGGTGATCCTCACAGCTGGTCCCCAGGATGATGCTAAGGACACCAAGTTTGTCTTGGCTGCATTGAGGCCTGCACCCTCACTAACCCTCAAGCATGCACAAAGTCACCAAGAAGGCAGGAATGGTGGTGAACCTGGGCCTGTCTAGCCCCAGACCTGCTCTGCAAGTCCAGTTCTACAGTCGGTTGGGCCAGCTCCTCACAGTTCTTCAGTCTGGGGAAACAGGCTCGGGGGATTTAATTCCTTGCTCCAGATCACTCAGAGGTACTGAAAGCAGCTATTTGAACTTCACACCCAAGCTTCATTCTTTGCACCAGGACAGTTTGCTTTGAAGAACAAAGGAGAAGGAAACTCTACAACCAGGGCCTGTCACTATGGGTGACCACTAGCAGAGGTCCCATGACACAGAGCAGAGAATGGCAGTTGTATTTGTTACTCTTGCCACCTAGCTCATCCTGACTAAGCCTCTTAGTCTCCATGACTACCTGAGGCTCCTGCTGCCCCAAGGACAGACCAGAGCTCACATGGCCAGTCACTGCCCTGGGGCAGACAATGTCACTTACTCACCGGAGTCTGTGAAAGCGGGGACACCCCTGACTCTGACGCTTGGATCTGGGGTCCCCTCCGCTGTCATCTCCAGCTGGAAGTTGTCAAAGCTAAAGCTTGTCACCACACTCTGGCCAGACGTGGCTGCCATGCAGGGCTCCTTGAGGCGCTGGCTTCCAATGGAGCCCATGGCAGTTCACCCTGTGAGGAAAGGGAACAAGGCAGTCAACCTAGTAAGGGGAGAGGACACTGCCATCCTGCCGCTAACTCATCAAACCCCGGGGCTCATTTTGTCCATTCATCCCATTTGGGTACTTGTTTGAATATATTTTGCCCAGGGACTCACACATGCTAGGCAGCTGCTCTACCACTGAGCCACAACCCAGCCCCTCACTGGGGGATTCTAGGCAGGTGCTCTGCCACTGAGCCACACCCCAGCCCCTCACTGGGGGATTCTAGGCAGGTGCTCTGCCACTGAGCTATATCTGTTTTGTTTGAGACAGAGTCTTGCCCTGGAACTTGTGATCCTCATGCTTCAAAACCTTCCAGAGCTGGGACTCCAGGAATGCCTTACTACACCTGTCTTTATTTCTCCCATCATTTAGGAAGTATACTTTAAAAATTATTTTATTAGCCGGGTACAGTGGCTCATGCCTGTAATCCCAGCACTCAGGGAGGCAGAGGCAGGTGGATCTCTGTGATTTTCTGGTCAATAAAGCAACCCCAGGACAACCAAGGCTACACAGAGAAACCCTGTGTTGAAAATCCAAAAAAAAAAAAGGGGGGGGGAGGCCTGGAGAGATGGCTCAGGGGTTAAGAACACTGGCTGCTCTTCCAGAGGTCCTGAGTTCAATTCCCAGGAACCACATGGTGGCTCACAACCATCTATAATGAGATCGGATGCTGTCTTCTGGCCTGCAGGTGTACATGCAGACAGAACATTGTATACATAATAAATAAATACATCTTAAAAAACAAAAAAAAATATTTTTAATTCTATGTGTATTTGTGAATGTGAGTGCTATAGTGCCTGAGGAGCTCCAAGGCGTCAACGCCCCTTAGCACTGGAGTTATGAGCACTAGTAAGCCACCTGACTTGAATACTGGGAAGCACAGCTGGTTCCTCTGCGGGCATAGTCCGACCTAACTGCTGACATCTCTCCAGCCCGGCTTCTCCTTTGATGTTTCACCGTGAAGGATACGAGCTCAACAGTGAGGTGATGTGACCTTGCCTGTTGCTATGGAAACCGGGTGGAAAGAGAAGAGACTACAGCCCAGGAGCCTAGCTCAGAGGCCTTTGACCCAAGAGCAGGTAGGGGGTCTTCATGAAGGAGAAAACAATGGGTAAAAGAGACATAGATGGAGCAGAAAAATGATTTAGACCAGGAAAGCTGGGACACAGTGAGCAATCAGAAACAATGGGTGAAATTACGGAGACTGTTTGCCAGCAGAGAGCTGTAACTGTCTGGCTCACCCTTTCTCTCTGGGAGAGAGGTGCTGCTCCGCATTCCTGAAACAGCCAAGAGAAGTGAACAATGCAAGGTGAATAATGCTCACTCTGCTCTCATGGATAGAAAGTAGTAGAGTCTAGAGTCCAACCCGGGTTTGCATGACACTCTCTATCTGGGACACTGAACCATGGCCACAGCCCCTCACTGAGGATTCTAGGCAGGGCCTCTACCACTGAGCCACACCCCAGCCCCTCACTGAGGATTCTAGGCAGGGGCTCTACCACTGAGCCACACCCCAGACCCTCACTGGGGGATTCTAGGCAGGGGCTCTACCACTGAGCCACACCCCAGCCCCTCACTGGGGGATTCTAGGCAGGTGCTCTACCACTGGGCCACATCCGCATTGTAGTCTTGCCTCTGTTTCTTGCTTCAGTTCATATCTGGCAGCTGTTACCTTTGGAGGAAAGGAACCAGTGGCTGGGAAATGCCCCCAAATGTAGCCCTGCGTGTGGGGTTGTCTAGCCTTCCTTCCTTTAACTTTTATCAGGTGAATCGTCAAACACTGTTGAAAATTTTATCTGATGACAAACAGCTACACACTCTTCCTAGGGCGTGAGTCATGCGTGGAGACAGCACGATTTCGACCCTGGACCCAGATCTTGGACGGAGACAGCTTCTCTTTCTCAGCACAAGTGGGAGAAGCCATGGAAGAAGCTGGGCGGCCCCTAAGGCATCCCATCTCTCAGAACTACATCAATCATTTCTGGGCCCGTGCCACCAGTGTGCCCTGCGCCACGTCCACCTGTTTTCATTTCTTTATCAGGCCCTCATTTCCGCAGCTTTTCTGCCTCATTTACCTCTTTCCCAGAGCCCAAGGCGGTTCTCCTCACCAGTTACAAAATCAGCCTCCTGGGTATGTCGTCTCCCCTGGGTAGTCTCTAACTCTGTTTGCAGAGTTGTGTTAGGGTCAAGGACCAAGACTGGGGGCTCCTTAGGTGCACTGGAGCCTGTAGCGCTCGTAAGATCTGGGGCCCAGGGAACTCTGCCCCTCTTGGTGGCTGACCCAGAGTGACTAGTCCTCTTGGCCAGTGGACAAGAGCCTAGGAGCCTCTTCTGGGAGCTGGGAGATGAACTTCCCTTCAGGCTCAAGGCCCTCCAAAGAGCCCCTTTCCAGTCGTTCTGGTCCCAGTAGCCATATCTAAAACTGGGAGAGACATGAGGGGCTTCAGGCCTAGCTGGCCTGGGTCAAACGACAGCAGCATCAGGGCAGCCGTGGTCCTGTCTGGTACTGGGTATACACTTGCCTGATCTCCAAAGGGGCTGGCTTACGGGTCAGGCTCCAGCCCACCAGCCTTAGAGAGGAGGGGCTGCGGAAGGGGACACTGCCTCACCCAGGAAGGAAGCTCGGTCCTAGAGGACACCGGGATCCAAAAGCCCAGCTCATGTTCAGGACGGACTCCCAGGATGCAGTCTCCCAAGCTCGACCAGCAGGAGAGGTTTCTGCCTGGCTGAGGCCACACCATCCGGGAAGGCGGACGTGTTCGGCACCCTGCCAGGCTGCTGGCTCTGGCTCAGCCAGCGTGGCGGGCAGCTGCCACCCACACTGTCCCCGAGGCTTTCATCCTTCTCCTCGCCCAGCTCCCTGCATTCGGTATCCAGGGTCCCAGGTCTTGCCTCCTCCTATAGCCACATTAATTAACATTTCAGAGCATCCAGATAGACTTGGGAAAGGAAGCTTTTCTTTACACTCCTGACTTGGGACCCCTCACTGCTTGCCACAAAAGCACTGGGGATGACACAGGCCATTTCTTTAGCTTTTAGACACCTACCTAGAATTCACCCACCTGGAGAGTCACAGAGAGAAAAAACTTAGCTGCGCACACTTGGCATTTTAATAGTGATGGGCACTACCCCTTAGCAGTCAGTGGGTCAAAGAGGGCTCTGACTGAGCTCTCAGCAGTCCCGGAAAACTAGGCGCACAGTGCCAGTCTGCAGAAGAGATGACCAAAAGGGCAGCAGAAAGCCAAGCCCACAGTTGGACAGCTCAAACTGGACCCTGACCACCAGCCCCTCCCAGTCACTCAGGGATTGTCTCCCAAGCCGCTTGCCCCGCATCTGAAGCCAGCAGAAGGGGTAGGGAAACTAAATTTTACTTGGAAAGCCAGCCTGCTCCACCTCCTCAGGCCTTGAACTTCTGGCTCTAGCCACAAGTCCTGTTTACTAGATGCCCTTGGATGCCCCTGTCCCGTGCCCAGACGTTGGTTAGGGAGTCACCCTGCGCATCGGAAGGCTTCGCTCCCGGCTGCAGGATTGTGGGTTTTGAGCCCCTTTGGGGCAGCTCCGCTCAGGGCCAGGGGACATGACTGGTCAAGGCCTGGGGTGCCCGCAGGGCTGAGGGGTAGCCCGGACCCACCTCCCTCCATGTTTTAGGCTCTGCACAGTTCCGACACTAGCAGACTGTTTCTTTCTCAGGCAGCCCCAGCAGCACTGAAGTTGGACCCCGGACCCACACAGCCCCCAGCAAAGGGAGACTTCTGGGGCAGCCCGGAGGTCGTGACCCAGCGCCCAGGCCCCGCCTCTGTCATAACCTTTTGCAGAACTAGAAAGGAGCTGGCTGGGCAGACGGGAGAGATAGAGGTGGGTCTGGAAGGAACTTGAGGTGCAAGGACCCCTGGGGTGTGACCACGGGAGGAGGCAGTGGCATGACCCTGCTCAGCCAAGGCCACCCGCGTTTGTCCCCTTCTAGAGCCTACGTCCCGCGCTCGCAGCTGGGATGCAGATCTGGCACTGGGCGAGGGTACCCCCTCTTCCCAGGACAAGGGATGCGGCAATGATTTAGCTCCTGGGAGGGAGGGAGGAAGGGGGTGGCGGCGCGACTGGGGCCGCGCGCCGCAGACAAAGGCTCCGACAGGTCCCCGCCGGCGTCTCCCCGCCACCTCCGTGGCGACACTCACCTCGGCCGGCCCCAGGCTCGAGATGCTCGGTGGCCGCCCGCGCCCGGACCCTGTGCGCTGCGCCCCGCTCCTCGAGGCTTGGGCCGGGCGCGGCGGGCGTCCTCCTGGCTGTCCGGGTCCGCGGGCCTGGGTCCGCGAGCGCGTGTGGGGGGCGCAGCAGCTGCGGCTGGCAAGCCCGGCCCCGCCCTGCCCGTTCGCATGGCCCCGCCCACAAGCTCCGCCCACCGCGTGGCTCCGCCCAAGCTTCGCCTCCAGTCCCGCTCTCCGCCGTCCAGATGCTCCGCCCCATCCTCGTGACTCCGCCCACACGCCCCGCCCAGTCCGCATGGCTCCGCCTAGGTCCAGCCTCCAGAGGAGCCCCCCCACCCCTCAGAAAGCCCTCCCTGTCTCCCCGCCTGCGCCCCATCCACTCTCTGCGCATCCGCCCCCCGAGCCCCTCTTTCCTTCCTATCCACTCCGCCCCACCTCCACCCAGCGCTGCTCGGTCTTTCCCGTGTTCTCCGCCCCGGTTCCTTCACCCAGGCTCCACTCACTCTCCATGACCCCGCCTCTAGCCCCGCCTCTGAACCGCCCCCACTGGGACCCCCACTTCTTGCTGTCTTCTGTGCCCTTGGCCAGCCCCAACCCAGACCACAGACCCCGCCCACCTCCCTGCCTTCCCTTTTCCTGCCTGACCCCACCTCTGCTTTCCACGCCCCTCTGCTCTCCTCCCTTCTCCTGCTGCCTGTCCGGCCCCAGTGACATCCCCCTCCTCCCCGCCTTCTCGCTCCATTCGTTAGTCCCGCGCTCATCATGCCCACCTGTTCCGCTCCTCTCCTCCGGGCCCGCTTTGTCCCATCTACCTGGCCCCACGTCCAGTCTTCCCACAGAACTTGGTCCCTACCTGCCAGCTCCGCCCCGTCCCTTCCCAGACGCCCCGCCCCTCGTGACTCCTCCCACAGCCTTCGCACACCCCCTGCCTCCCCGCCTCCCTTCCACTCCCGGGCTCTACCACCCCGCGCGCAGCCCCCAGCGTGGACCCTTCCGTACCCGGCGCCATGGCTTTCTTCTCTGCACCCCCAGCTCACAGTATCCGACAGTCTAGCACATAGGGTGGGCTGGGTGTCCCGGCTGGCCTTCTCGCTGCCCAACCCCTTCAACCTTCCTGCCAGGCTTAGTCTCCTGGAGATCTACGTGGCTTGTTTGTGGCATGGCCTGGGCCGGCACTGATGGCTGCAGAAGGGTCTGTTCTGACCCTGGCCCTGACCGTGCGGCCGATGGGGGCCAGAAAGATGAGGTCGGGAACTACGTGGGAACACGGCCCTAAGTCCTTACAGACTGGGACCTGTCTGTGGGACCAGCCACCGTCAGCACTGAGACAGAGGCACAGATGCATCTTCTGTGCCGCCCTCCTCTGCGTCTCCACTTCACCCTGGAAGCCTGTTTGGTTCTGCCCATGGCTGAGGTCTTTCCTGTTTTGCCAGCCTTTCTCAATGATCAGAGTCCTTGGGAGTCTTTTTTTTTTTTTAATAGCCTCTCTTTTCATAGCCTCGGTTGTCCTGGAACTCACAACCCTTGGGCCTCAGCCTCTAGGGTGCTGGGATGGCCACACCTGGCTCAGTAAAGTGTGGTGTACACACTCAGGGACAGCCTGTGCCCCCGGGCTTCTTTTGCGGCTCTGTAGGCCACAGAAGATGGCTTGTTGTGGTTCTGGTGAATTATGATAATCTCAAGGTGAAAGACCCCGAGGCTTCACATAGTCTAAAGCTTTGGGGGTACAGAGTTCAGCAGTGGATAAACTAGGTGTGGCCTGTGTCTTTTATCCCAGTGCCTGGGTGGGAGAGGCAAGGAGATTAGGAATTCAAGGGCCAGCCTGGGCTACAGAGACCCTGCCCTTACCCCTACCCAGTAAAGACAATATATAGGGAACTGAGGGTGAGAAGAAGGGAGAGAGGGAGGGAATGGAGAAGGGAGGGTGAAAGAGAGAAAGAAAAAAGAAGGGGAGGTGGGGTCAGAACGAAAAATCAGACAAGGCCAGGAAGCAGTTGGAAGTTGGGGAGACATTTTGTCAATGGAGGGGACAAGAATACATCAAGATTTTAACATCCTCTTCCTGAGAGGAGGAAGCAGGAGGATCAAAAATTGAGGTTAAGTCTAGTTATTGAGTGAGCTGAAGGCCAACCAGAGCAACTTAGGGAGATTCTGTCTTAAAATGAAAAGTAAGAAGAGTTGAGTATGTGGTTCAGTGGTAGAGCACCTGCCTAGAATCCCCCAGTGAGGGGCTGAGTATGGCTCAGTGGCAGAGCACCTGCCTAGAATCCCCCAGTGAGGGGCTGGAGTGTGGCTCAGTGGTAGAGCCCCTGCCTAGAATCCCCCAGTGAGGGATTCCACAGAATCCCTCACAGTGAGGGGGGATTCCACAGAAGTGCAAATTAATAAAATAACCCTCTTTCTGGATCAAGTGTCAATTGAAGCAACTCTTCTGGAAAGTAAACTGGCCTTTAAAAAAAAAAAAAAAAACATGCCTTTGGTCCAGAAAATCTAACCCAAGGAATTAGTTCTAAATATAGAAAGGCTTTACACTCTGAGATGCTGGTGGCAACGGCAAGCACTGCGGGTGGCCACGTAGCTGAGGAAGATGCAGACGTCATAGGCCTCCCAGCAGGACACAATGTGAATGCCACATTTAAAAGCCCAAGAAAATCAATGGACACCTGTGTAAGCTCTGCAGAGAGCGCTCACGTCCCAGAGATGTGCACAGGGTTAGAAAGGATTTGGAGTAACATGGAAAGCCAGAAGTGCGAGCGCGTTCAATGACACAGAGGTAGGAAGTGGGACAGAGTCCAGAAGGTGACTTCCCCTCTCTTGGTGTAGAAAAACCGGAGGAGCCAGCGAACATGGCTTTCTGGGAAACGATAAATGAGCAGAAACCGGCTATCAGAGAGGACAGAACGTGGGGGCTGGGGAGATGGCTCAGTCATTTTGCTGTGAAAATCCCCAGAGCCCACATAAAAAATGGGGGCACGTGTCTGTAAGCCCGGTACTGGGGAGGCAGAGACAGGAGAGGCCCCGGGGCTTACTCCAGCCATTCTAGCCAAACCACCTAGCTCCAGCTCCAGGCTCACTGAGAGACCCTGCTGATAAATATGGTGGGGCTCGAAAAATGGCTCACACACACACACACACACACACACACACACAGCCCCAAAGCAAGCAATTCATATAGAATACAGCCTGGCGCGGAGCGAGACGAGCATAATAAAGAATCCTTATTTCTCTGCTCCCACACACTGGGCTTCAATAGCTTCACACAATTGAAAAAAAAAAAATCCTACCAAAGTTTCAAAGGTGATGGGAGCCAATGTTATGTAAAAACACAAGCAGAGAGATTGTTCAGCCCGATGAAGATTACCCTAAGGAAACAACAGAGCCGTTTCATCTTTGAATAGTAGCAAAAAAAATTTTCTAAGTATAGCTGCAAGAATTGAGGGAATTTGCAAAAACAGGAACAGGCTACATGGCACGTGACCGGGTGGTCTCTCTAAAGAAATGCTATATATACTTTTAATCTTACGCTTTCTCTGCAAATGTATATGTCCATTGTACCCACTGCCCAAAGAGATCAGAAGAGGGCATGACGCTCCCCGGAACAGGAATTACTGCTGTGACTCACCGTGTGGGCGCTGGAGACCGAACCCAGGGTCCTCTGCAAAAGCAAGTGCTCTTAACGGCTGAGCCGTCTTTCCAGCCCAAGAATTTTTTTTAAATTGTGTGTGTGTGTGTGTGTGTGTGTGTGTGTGTGTGTGTGTGTGAGTGAGCATATGTTCTAGGAGGTCAGTAGAGGGTGTCAGAGCTTCTGAAGGTGGAGTCACAGGTGGCCGTGGATAGTCTGACATGCTGCGAACTGAACTCGGATTCTCTGTGAGGGCAGCTGATGTTCTTAACCGCTGAGCCATCTCTCTAACTCCCCACTGTGAGTGTGTGCTGAGGGTGCAAGTCATTGCTTCACCCATGCTGGGCAAGTGGCAAGTGCTTGACCACTGGGCAACACTCCCAGCTATTCATCGTTAACATATGGGAAGGGGAAAATCATAGAATTATCTATATAGTTACTAAAAAGAAAAAGAAAAAAAAAACTCAGCTAGGCGTGGTGGCACACGCCTGAAATCCCAGCACTCCGGACGGCAGAGGCAGATGGATCTCTGTGAGTTCAAGGCCAGCCTGGTCTACAAAGAGAGTCTAAGACAGCCAGGGCTACACAGAAAAACCCTCTCTTGAAAAACCAAAAGAAAAAGGAAAAACCCTTTGATTAAATGTGATATGGCCAGCAGTGTGATTCATCTGGTTGCATGCTGGCTTTGCATGTGTGAAGCCATGAGTTCAGGCCCGAGCACACTGTAAAAAGAGGCATGGGCTGGAGAGATGGCTCAGTCACTAAGGCGAGGCTCACAACCACAAATAAAGCGGCCATTGGGAGGCGGAAGCAGGAGGAGCAGAAGTTTACAGTACCCTGGGCTACCTGGCAGCTTTGAGGCCACCTGAGCTGCACAAGACCCTGACTTCCACTCCTCTTCCGAAGAAGAAGAAGAAGAAGAAGAAGAAGAAGAAGAAGAAGAAGAAGA